GTCTCAGTCACACTGTGCCATCAGTCCCTTCCCAACGGTCCCCGCACCGCTCTCAGTGCGTTGTTCTTCTGGATGGATTTGGTTCCCTACGGGCACTTCTCCCACAGCACTTTCCCCTCCTCCCTGTGGGCACGAGGCTGCATCCAAAAGGCGCTGGGTTCCTGGATCTCACACTGCCCTCCAGCCTCACAGCCCCAGCTGGGCTAACGAAGCCTGCTCATTACAAGCATCATTTCCCCCGGACAGGGCACTGCGCGCTGTCACAGTTTGCACCGTTTGCGGAGGTCTTGTTTCAAGGACAGGAAGAAATTACCCTCTGCTTTCATTTAAGTCAATCGAGTGCTTTGCTATTTGTGTCTGTCCATAACTGTTTAGCCTTCTCCTCGCCATCCTCAAACCGAGTGTCACCAGACCTCCACACCGCAGCTCCCAGCTCCTTGGCCAGCCCCAGCCCTGTCCTGAGACCCTGGGAGGCAACAGGGCAGGGGCTAAACCTCCCCCACCACTCCCTTGCTGTCCCTCCGGCTCTGCTCCCTCCCTGCCTGCTCCATCCGATGGCCCGAAACGAGGCATTTCTCCTCTGCAAGGCTGTCACAGCTGCCTGAAGGCAAGCGATCAATTTTCATTTGGGGGTGGGGGGATCCAACAAAGCCACCTCCGGCTGGCAGAGCAGGTCCCCAGACGGGAGCAGCCCCTTGGAGAAACCTGCCAGCAGTGTCCAGGTGAAACAGCCCCCCAAAAATCACTTTGGAGATCGAGAGCTTGACAGCACAAATAAGAGCTTTACGGTCCAAATAAAAGCTTTGCGGTCCAAATAACTCCCGGGATCAAGTTAAGGCGTTAACAGATAAGAGCCCACAAATATCATCACCAAAAACTTTTTCAATGCAATGCTATGGCAAGCCAAGCAGCAGAACAATCTCTGCTCTCGGTTTTGGAGTTGGCAGAAGATTAATCGCGCCAAAGCCGCGCTGCACAAAGACACGAAGTGCCCCAAGCCCAAGTTAAGCCCAGAGGAGCGCTCATTTCCACAGGGTCAAGCCTGCTCCGGCTGTCCGCTCCGCACCGGAGCCGCTCTGCGCTGGAAATGGCAGCACGGTTTCGTCCCACCGGGAGGGAGAAACAATGCCGAATATTCCAGCCGGCCCTGCCAAGCGTACGAGCAATGAAAAAGTTCCCTCGTTACTCACCGAGCAGCCCGGCAGACCCCACGGGCAAGGAGCTGCGGGCGCACCCCGCACCGGCCGCAGCGCGCCGAGCTGGGCGCGCAGGGTGGAGCCGGGTGCCGGGTGGGCCGGAGGCGGCCTTCATTCATAAAAGCAGCCCCGGGAGCATCTGTCCCGGTGCCGAGTGTCCTGCTCAGCCCCCATCCTGCCTGCCGGGCCCCGCGGATCTGCGAGCGGCAATTGCCATCTAGCGGCGCCCGCACCGCTCCGGCCCCTGCTCCAGCGCAGACGGGGCCGCGGGGCTCGCCTTAAGTCATCAGGAGCGGCGCTGCTTTGCCCTTTAACTTTTCATTCCCTCGGCTCAAGGCGTACCTCGCAGGGGTGGAACAGTTCATCGGATGCCTCTGCCAAACGTGTCTGCTGCACCGGGGGCTGGGGACGGGGAAGGGCGCCGTGCAGGTGCTGCTCCTGCGCTGCCTTCACGGAGGGAACCCGTTTTCCCCAAGGGGCTCCAGAGGCTGTGTCATGGAAAGGAGGAGGTTGTGTTCCTCTGGATGGATCCAGGCTCTTGCGTGCCTGCATCCAGCACTGTGCTGGCAGCAAGGGTCGGCACAGCCCAGAGCCACAACGTCTGTGCCATCCATCTACATCTACACCTAGAGATACACATCACAAAGGGTTTTCCCAGCTTCTTGGTCCTAATCCGGACCCATAAACTGGACGCCCACGAGCGCTTGGAGAGCGTTAGGTGCATTCCTGCAGCACGTTTGGTTTGGTTTCATCTGAAAGGAATCCAGGCTCTCCCGAGTCCGAGCTCTCCAAAGCCACTCCAGGATGAGATCCAAAGTGCAGCAAGTGGGGGAAGCTGGGAGATCAGTTTCCAAACTGAGCCCTGCTCCAAATTAACGTGCTGGAAAGGATGCAGCCTAGCAGGGCTTTGGGGAGCAGGGGCTTCACTGTCCAACGCCCCACCGCCAGTGCACTGACCCGGCCATTTCCTAAGTCCTGCCCATCAGAAAGGCCCCGGGGATGACAGCAAGTCCCCAGGTCAGAGGCAGTTCACTTTTAGGGGCTCCATCCCTCTGCCCCTGACCTCCTTGTCCCCCATGGTGGCCAGGGCAGTGACGGGACACTCGCCACTTGCCGCAGCAGAGGTGGTGGCGAGGCGGTGGCACAAGGCAGCTGAGAGGTGAGCCCTGAGCTTTCCCCCAGCTCGGGGCTGTTTCTGGACAAGCCCATCCTCCCATTGTGCTGCCTGCAGCCCTCGGTCTCCTGGGTGTGCGGGGCGCTCATTTCCCAGCTTCCTCGAAGCACACCCAGGCGCTCGGCAGGAAGGCGAGGTGCACTTTAGCAGCTGGAAGCGATCACCAGGCCTCTCCTACATAGGAAACGGGTGAATCCTGGCCAGCCCTGGGAGGCTGCTGACCCGGGGTCCTCCCTGCAGACACCCACCCTATGCCAGGGCGGAGGCTCCGTGCTTCCCGGGTAGGAGATGCTGGGAAAAGCAAGAGCGCACCGTGGAGAACCTCCATGCTCAGGAGAAGAAGAGGAGCCCCAAAGATGCAGGGCACGAAGTTGGATGGGGTCCTGTTCCCCCTCCCCGAGCAGGGCCAGCCTCACCCCAAGCCATTTGGGGCCAGGTGACACCTGGGGGAGGCTGGGCTGCTGACCGCACTGCACCGTGGCCAAGGGAAGAGGAAAAGGGCAGAGAATTGGGGGGTTGGGGGAGAACTTCCTCCCTCCCAGCTCATGTGGAGGCTGGGGTGACACCTCCCGGGGTCACTCCACCTCCGTGTGTGCACTGTGCTCAGAGAAACACTGCACAGGGCTGGGTCCCGGTGTTTTACTGCCGTCCCAAAGCCAAACGCAGCTCCAAAAAGGTTTTCTTTGTGAGAAAAAAAAAAAAAAAAAAATGAAGCCCAGCGATTTGCCTCCCTGGCCTGGGGGGTGCTGCATCAGGCTGAGTGCTGCCAGCCAGGGGAGCCAGCCCTGCCCTGCGGTCTACGTGGGGCCGAGGAGCCCCCGCTGGCCCCGAGCCGGTGGCACTGCTCTCCCTGCTGCAGGCAGCTGATGCTCTCCATTACAGCCCCTCACAAGGTCGCTTCTGAGAAACCTCCTCCTTGCCCCATGCCAAGCCCTGTGGCTGGGTTCAGGTACGTGCCTCGCTTGAGGCATTGAGTTACCGAGCGTGGCAGAGCACAGGAGGGGGCTCGTACCTCTGGCCGGGGGGCGCTCAGGGCTCTCGGCCTTGTTCTGGCTGACCCCTGGGGTCTTCCAGCAGGCACGATCCCAGTCCTAACCACGGAGAACAGAGATACTTGAAGAGGAATTATCAGGTATCGAAGTCTCATCTGAAAGGCTGTAATCTCCTGGTAAATAAGAGCCTTTTTTTTTTTTTCTTTGGAGCGTGCTGCCCAGCACCATCCTGCCGCTATATTTAGCTTTTATATTAGCTGAGCACTTCATTCGCAGAGGGGCCGAGCCTCTCCCCAGTGGCACAGCCTGGACACGCACCGTGCCTGTGAAGGATGATCCCCTGCACTGCACCTCCCGGGGTAAGACAGATGTGAAAGAGCTGTCAGCACCCATGGGTGTAAATTTGGCAGGGCCTGGGCGGGTCAGGGCCCCGTGGGTGCAGAGACGGGCACCAAAACGTGACCCAACAGCTGCATTCCGCAGGAAAGCCCTAGGAGCTGCCTTTTTTAGCTCACTTGCAGCAAGTGGTGCAAACCCAGTTTGTGGAGCAGTTTTGTTTTTTGGAGAAAAGCAGGGGTTTGCTGCCCACTGCTGATGGAACGGGTGTGCCTGGTGGCACTACCGTGGTATTTTTCCATACAAAGCTGAGCAGAGCATTTCAGAGAGGTTCCCCAGGTGGACCTACCAGGCCCTGCACTTGTCTGGTTTCAGTCTTTGCACTACCCACAGGAGAGGCATTTTGCTTTCCTAGGTGCATCAGAACTGGTCTACCATCCTGCACCCATCCCTCTGGCTCTTTGGGGATCTTTTACTCCAGCCAGAGCTGCAGAAAGTTAAGAGCATTTGCTTTCCAGATAACCCTGCAGTCACAAGGTCCCGTATTTGTGACTCTCCCCCTGCTGACACACTGCAGAAGGAAGGAACCCCAGAAGGAAGCAGCCCCACAGGGTGCGTTTGCTGCAGATCATTTGTCTCAGCCTTCTCGCTCTGCTCCCTGCATCACACCCCGTGATGTGGAGGTGCCCCCAGCCGAGCAGAGCAGGAACCCTGCATTAGCAATGCACTGTGCCACTCCTGCTCTTTGGAACAAAATCTGGAGAGAGCCACAGCTGAGATAAAGCAGCACTTGTTTTATTGAATCCACAGCACAAGAATCCCTGGAGTTGAGAGGGGGCAGTCTGCAGTTGCACCTCGTCTGTCCTTGCAGAGGGAAGCATGGTCACTGGTTTCTTTGCTCACTCCTTCTCTCTCTCCTTCCCCTTTACATGATTTGCCACATCCCGCTTGCCCTTTTCTTCTTAGAAAGCTACTGGAAGTACAACTCTAGCTCTACATCACTATGTTCTGCTTAGAAGGTCCCACCTCACTGTTGTATCAATATTAATCTTGCTTTAATATGAACAAATATTGGAAATCAAAGAATCCACTAACTTTTCTTAGGGAAAGAGAGGAAAAAAGCATCTCTTGCTTCAGAGACTAGAAATGTCTTAACTGATGTTAAAAACCAACATTTGTAATCTTCAGTCATATCCACGGCTGAAGGCCGGCATGCAAGGCAACATGCAGGACATGGCAATAGCACTGCACAACTGTGAATAGTCTTTGAAATACAAGCAAAATAACTAAAAGATATCAAAGTAGTTGCAAACCAGCTGTGGCTTTAGGTGCATTCATTAAATATAAATATATATAAATGGTATCAAAAATATCAAAGACATCAAAGACACCCTGCCAGGGATAGCTGAGGTTTCTACATCACCTAGGCTGTTGTTTTAACGTTACAATTCTTTTTTTTTTTTTTTTTTTTTGGCTTTGTGCCTCTTTTTAATGCTTTTGGCTTCTTGATCTATTTGTTCCCATTCATTAATAACCTTGTCCCAGCCATCTCATCCTAACGCCAGCGGAGGGCTCCCCTACGTTCCATAAAGCTGGGTATTGCACAGCTGATGCATTACGATGCAGAAGGCATGTTTCATGCTCACATACACACATTAATGCACACAAACACAGCCCTTCAAGGGAATTATTACACAGAGACACCCGCTGGGTTTTCGTGGGGAAGAGGAATCCAGAGGAAATATGACAATATCAAATGTAGCTTGATTTTCCATGAGGTTGTCCAGGCGACTGTTGTTTTCAAGCCACGCATGGCACAGCCCCTGGAAATCACAAACTTCTGTTAGTAACACGGTATTGCTCCAACATCTTTAGGCACAAGCAATATCCATAATTTCCCATAGTCATTTAACTATGATCCTCACAGGAATGGAAGCTGGCACATCCGCACTATTTCTATGATGAACATAAAAACCAGGATGCAGATCTACCTCCAACGAGAGAAAAGGAGATTCTTGACTGGAGACAGGCACACTGTGAAATTAGATTTTTTTTCCCCCTTTTCCGTGCAGTCTGTTCCTACTCTTGTCTTGTTTCTAACTTGAGTCCTGGCAAAACTGCTGTTACGTTTATGTTTTATCTGAACACCTGCATGTAACTCAGACTCACCTGGGCTTTGCCGAGCTGGGAGCACCCGGTGACTCAGATACCCAGCATCTGAAGTTGCTGCCAATAGCTCATAAAAAGCTTTCTGCGGCTATGAATTCACCCAGACATCACCACCAAGGCCATGTTCTTACCGCCACACCCCACGGCAGGGCTGTGCACACACCTTTTTGGCTGTCCCACATCTCAGATCTCTGCAACCCTCACTGCAGACACTCGAGGGAGCCACTCGGCCAGGTCACGCCCAGCGTGTTTTCCCAAATCCTTCACCATCATCTGGAGAGAGCTAGAAGGGTTGCTACACTTCTGAGGTTTTGCATTACTCATTCAGGCTCTAGTTTGGGACGCTTCCTCACTGTTTCCACTCTAACAGGGCTATCGGCGTCCCGTGAGTCAGGACCATTGCCCACCTCCCCACCTGAAGCATTATCATCGCCATCACCCAGAGCCTCCTGATCTCTCGCTGGGTTTGCATGAAGTGCCTAGACAGAGCACAGACGGGCTTTGTGGCAGGGGAGGGCTGTCTACAAGTCCTGTCTGAACAATGTGACTTGCCCTGGGCACACACACTCCCCCCCTCACACCACGTACTCACCAGAACCACGACGGGGATCCCCACATCCTCCCTTGCTGGGTGCAGCACTGAGAATTGGGGTGCCACTGAGTAAGAGCTCCACACTTCCTGGGGTTGCCTGTGTTGGAGACAAAGAAACGAAGCTTGGACAGGTCTTCTGCTCTCTTTAGAAGCTGTCAGGTGTTGGAGGCAGCCCTTTACCTCCAAATCTTGCTGTCTTCAGCTTCCACACATCTCTGGTTTTCCTTGCTTTGGGATATTTGAAAGCAACGTTCGGGCTGGCTCTCTGCTGGGCACACAGGGAAGCAGTGTGCAGGCCGGGGCAGCTCCGTCACCACCCTCCTGCTGCTCTGGCACATGGGCTGCTCCTGCTGGCCACCAGCACCACCCTTACCTGTGCAGAGCACACTCAGCCTCCTCACCTCTGGTCCCTGCTGAGCTCACACACACACACACACACACACACAGCTTCCATCCTGCTTCAGCCAAACCCTCCCTGTGACACAGCCCTGCCCAAGGAGCTGCCTCTGTGCCTCCCGGGGCTGTGTGAGCACTTGCCCAAAACAGCCTTTCCCCTACCAAACACTCTGCTATCAAACTGTCCCCCACCATGACGGAGCAGCAGGGCTATCTACATCCCCACAAAGTCCCCCAGTGGTGCTGCCAACAGATCCAGCCCTTCCCCAGGGAAGAAGGGTTGGGAAGCCCAGATGACGCCCAGCATTAACCAGAGCTTCAGCTGTGAAGCTAAATTGCTACCAATCGAACCCAACTGTCCTTGCTAAAAACTGGGATGAATCCCACACAAGTTGCTCCTGCTCCCAACTTCCTCCCAGGCCTTGAGGCTTTCTTCTGCTCTCTGCTCACTTCTTGACCCAAGAGTACGTGGCACCAGGAGCGCCTGACCCTGACATGGCCACAAGCCCCAGGGACCTTGTCAGCAGACAGCAAAACATGATGGGGAATCTTCCAAAGCAACACATCCTTTCAAACATGCCATTTCAGGCAAGAGACAAGCACTGACAAATTTTCAGTTTTATTAAAAAAAATCTAGCAGCAAAACCTGTAACAATTCAAAAAAAAAAAAAAAAAAAAAAAAGAACATGACACAGAGAAAGAGACAGAGATGGAGAGAGACAGGCTTGGGGTTTTCTGCACCATTCACTCAAGTTCCTTGTAGCGGGCAAACATGACTCTCCTGACAGCATCTCGGTAAGTCTCGTTGGACTGCCTCTTGTTGGGCTTCCCTTGGGCCCCCAAGCCAGGTCCCTTCTTCCGATTTTCCACCTGGAAACAGACACAACTAGGATTAGTGATTTCTGCTCTTTGCCTGCTTCTTCTGCCTGCAAAGAAAAACCTTCCCCTGCGCTGCTTCAGGACAGCTGACTGCTCCCACGTGGATAGGGATAAGAAGAAACGACATGTTCCTCCAAAAGCTGTTTGGGAGAAACTCCAGGCCTTTGTGGGCAACAAAAGCACAGGCAACAAGTGCCCAGTGTGAATAAATCCATAGGACAGTCTGCGGAGACCAGCACTAGCATATGGTGCGGTAGGAGCAGGCAGCCAAAATGTGCAATGCCAGCAGACGAGAGGCATCCGTGTGCAAGCATGGATCGAAGCAGAGCAAAGGAAAGTGCCAGCAAGAAAGCTGGGCGCCCAGGGAGCTGTTTGCAGTTAGCCTGCACTTGCAGGAGCTCAGCTGTTCTCTCCTCTAATAGTGTTCCCATGGGATCTGGTAGCACACTTAGAATTTCAACCAGTTTTTAACGACTGGCTTTTGCAGCCAGTGTCTGAATTTTTCATTAATACCTGCCTAGAGTTAGCCCAGGAGAGCCGAAGGCTGAAAGTTTCCCTTGCTTTTAAGTCTAACTTCTCTGGCTAGCAGAGATGTGATCAATTAGGCCGGGAGATCAAAGTCCTGTGGGGCTGAAGTGGGCACATGGCTTTGCCCAGCAGGACTTGGAAGTGGGAAGAAGGCACATCTCTAGGGCTCTTTGGAGAGGTTTCTATAGGGATTGTATGAGGGCCGCGCCTTGCAATCAGCTTCCCCCTCCAGGCCCAGGAGTCCCAATTGGAGGTCAGACCTCCCAGAGCGCATCGCTAGAGCTGGCTCTTTGACAAGGCCCGTTTTATGGCCGCAGGAAGCTCTCCACGAGGACCAAACAACAGCTGGAACGAGTTCCTGCTATCTAAACCGATGAGGGAAAGTTGCCTTGTGTGTGTGGGCTCAAGCAAGCACGTCACAAAGCCTCAAATATTTGCCTTTAACAATATACTCAAACTGCGAGCTGGGTGTCGCAATGCAAGCTGCACTGCAAGTTGTGGTGCCCTTCGGTGAGGAGCTGGCACCATGCAGCAAGGCAGCCAGGAGACAAACCCGCTGTGGCAAGCAGCTCCAGCTGCAAGGGTTCGGTGCTGCCCACCGGCCCCAGAGCAAGCAAAGCCCCAGGCTGTTTGTTAATGCTGTGTCCAGGCATCCCATGTCACCCACTGAACATGTTTCTGCATAAGAATGGCCTCAGCAGTCTTTTGAAGCCCTCTGTGGTGTCGGTGTGACTGTCTGCACGTGAATTAGTCCACTGGAAAAGGCTCTGTCTTATTTGCTTGACTGACCATGTTATCCCGCAGCTGCTAAGGTTGCTTTCCCTGCCACTCTAGAGATGACGTTTAACCTAGCTCTGCAGCACTCTGCCCAGCGTCAAACCGTGCCCTCAGCCCTGCCCATACAGCTGTGTGGGGGCAAGGGAAACAACCCACAGGGGAACAGCCTTCCTTTCAACTCAGGTAAGCCCCTGAATGCTGTCCCAAGGGCGTATCTGAGCTGTGTCTGGGAGCACGAGCTAGCAGCAGTGGGTATGAACCACTCAGGGAATCACCAAGAAGGACAAAACACGTGAAGTTATTTCAAACTGCAGGTTTGAAATAAAAACCAAGCATCAAGTGCAATGAACACATTAATACCTTGTCGCAGGTAAACCCTCTCCAGACTAGACTGTCCCGGAAGGCAGGATCTACCCAGCCCTGCTTATTTCTAAAGTTCTTTTCAGATGATGTACACTGGTATTCTCTTTCAAAGCCCGGCACTTAGAATTGCAGCAAGAGCCTCAGCAGGTGCAGACACACAGCAGCACACACCCAGGGGCTTTGGCTGTGCTCACCCCTCCCAGCAGGAGGTGAACCTTTTCTCCCTGCTGACGTGGCTGCAGAGAGCACTGAGCTGGTGACCTGCTCAAATCCCAGCCTGCTTTTGGGCAGGTATTAATCAGACGCTCACGCCCTCCTTACTCACCGTCAGACCGTTTTGAACCCCTCCAGATCCATAAGGATTCTAAACCTTTTCTCCCGCCAACATATTCGCAGTCCCTCCCTGCCTGCAAAGCTAATCAGTGCGCATATTACTGCATCGAGCGGGTGCTGAGTCACACAGCCTGACTCCTGTTGGAGCTGGGAACTCCCTCCAGCTCTCTCGGGCCACATTACCAGCTTGAACAACAGTGATTCATTCTGAAGGGAAGGGAAGGCTCACCTCCATTGGTGAGGCTGTACCCTGCTGGTTGTAGCCAAGGCCTTTCGTCCACCCTGTGGACTGCAACATTCGGTTTCCTTTGTTGTTACTGTCAATCCTTGGATCGTAGTCACTGGAAAAGAGACAGAATCAATTGTACAGCTTTGCAATGTTTTGAACACATGCCAGAGATGTTTAGCTCTGCTAATAGCACCTTCATTGACATTCAAACCTCTCCTGAGGGGTATTTCCAGTTGTTTACAAGGAACACACTGCCTGAAGAAACCAACACGGTGCACTGTGTGCAGGGTTCAGACACCTCTGACAGTGTAGCTAACTCCCTGTCCCACCTCAGGGGATAATACACCGGGACACAGGAAATGAGCTCAGGCTCCAAAATATTTATGGTACAAGAAGGCCTGAAGCATTATGTTCTTGTATTTCTTAATCTGAGTTTTAGCAACAGCAAGAAAGTGAAGTCTAATCCCTGCTGCTCCAGGAGATCTTTCTTTTCTCCCAGTGCTGTGAGCATTGTGGTCACCAAGCTCAACAGATGCAGTGTTGATTTGGACACGCCTTCTCCCACCTTGTCATTACTCATCCAAAACCATTATCCAAAACCCATAGTTTTGAAAACTGTTCTGCACAAAAATAGCTTCCTGCATTCAGACAAGTTCTGCTTTCTGGCTGCTGCTGACACTGCACACAAACTGCTTTAGTTTATCCACACCTTTTCCAGGAAAACAGAGGGAAGAGAAGAAACAGATTTTTTTAAACTGCAAAATGTGAAGGAAAGGTCCCCTTTTGAGGTGCTGTAGCAGAAGGGAACAGGCACGTAACCAGTTTTGTCTTCAACACATGCCTAGCAGTTCCTCAGCCCACTGGAACACATGAGCTTGCAGCAGGCAGACCTTTTGAGAGCTCCACACAGCACGCACTTTCTTCCTACACCTACTCTGACTGAGATGGAAACAGCTAGTGTTCCTCTGAGTCAGTAGAACAGAAGAAACACAGCTTTGCTCCTTCTTCTGATGGCTAAATGCCAGGAAAGGAGGACAGCGAGTGCCTTGAGGATGTGCTGACTGGGAATGAACCATGCTCTGCTCCCTATGTCCGGCCAGGCACCTTCAAAACCCCCATCCTACCCATACAGTACCCATCTGCATGTCTCTGCCTTCCCCTAAGCCCTTGTCTCCAGCTCTGCACTACATAACCCTCGCCTCCTCCTGCCTTCTCTGAGAAGTCCTGCAGCTTCTAACAGACTTGCACTTTGGGGAACTCTGCCCACAAGAATCACAGCCTGATCGTTTCTATTGCATGTAATCCCACCAGCCAATTCCTGGCCTCGACGTGCCAGCAGCACACGTGCCATCATGGCATCAGCAGCCCCAAAGACATCCAACCAAGAGCAGACATTACCTCTCTGAGTCCCGGTCATATCTGAGTCGTTTCCTCTCTGGTGAATCCATTTGCTGGAACTTCTCCCTTCGGTCATTTCCTTTGTCTTTGTATCTCCCCTTCACAACAGAAAGAACAAATTAAGTACAGGAGCTATGAAGGACTTGAAACTCCACAGGAAATTGCTCTGCAGATAGCTCTCACCTCAGCCACTAATCCTCAACTGCGAAGGAACTCTGTCCTGCAGACCCACAAACACCAGATGTTTCTAGGACCCACAATCCACTTATTCTGTCCTGATGGCATCTGTTGCTGCCAGACTGATGGTTGCAGCCTTCCCACTACGGCACCCTGAGCAGCTCTGCTAGCTTCTGAACAGCAGCCACAGCTCTCCCATTCCTGGCCAGGCAGCAGCAGCTGCCCATACACTGCATCAGTTTCAAATAGAAATCTGTGTCCCACGTAGCTCATAGCCCCACGCTGGCTCACAGGGTGACAGAACCACCACTCAGAGCCTTCTGGGAGGAAGGCAACCTGCTCCTAGAAGTCACGCCACAATCTAGAAGTCCAAATGCAGAGCACGTCCACATTTCAGTTTAAGACTCTTTGCCCAGGCTACAGACAAGTGTAAAAGAGGAAGGTCTGCCTGGACCAACATTCCCCCTAGCACAGGATGACAAAGAGAAGTCTGCCCACCACCACAGACCCACCTCACGCTCTCTCTTCTCCAAATATGCCAGTTCCTGCTCAGATCGTTTGATCTTCATGTGTATCTCCAGGTTTTGCTGGAAGAAGGAAAACAGAAGGCAGAGTCAGCAGAGGACACAAGCTTCCCCATTTGCTGCAGTATAAATAAAGCAGCATGCCCTTGCACCTGCACTAATCCAGATACAACAGCCCCCCCATGCAGCCCAGACGACCTGCTCACCCACCAGGAAAGGCTGCGGGACAGCCTTTCCAGCCCCACAGTAGGAAAGCAAGCAGTCCTATTTTAACTTGCATGCAGTTTCGTCCTCCCAGAAGCAAGAGCTCAATGCAGAACATCGGAAGGCATGCCTAAACTTCTTCCTGCTATTGCACTTGAATGTGCCAGCAGCCCACTCTCCCCAAACTTGAGCTGTATCACTATAGCTTAAAAAGTCACAACCTGCTATTATGGCACTCTCAAGGCAGGAGCAAGCAGCTCACACAATGCTTTGAGCAGAGCTTTGATGGGAACTTTGCCTGCTACTGTGTCAAACTCAGAACAGCTCTTCCCACACAGTCACTGCATCTTCTCCCTCTATCACAAAGCTCTTGAGCCAACGGCAGCTCACATCACACATACAGCCCCCCTGCCACCAGCTCCCCCATACCTTGTGCAGGTTGGAGAGCTGCTGGTGCTTGATGAGCACTTCCTTGTTGGGAAACTGCCTCCTGCACAGCAAGCAAGCCAGCTTGTTCCAGTCAGTCAGCTTGTCGTCGTTCACCTTGGCCTTCCTCTGCTGCTCCTCGCGCTGTGCTGGTGGGTGGGGAGGTGGCAGCCACTGCGCCTGTTCCTCCTCTTCCTCCTCCTCTTCGTTGTCACTGTCTCCTCCGTACTCTCCCAGAAGACCTATCAGAGGGTTCACCACCTTGGGCTGAGGGAAGAGGCAGAAAAACGTGACAGGTTGTCGCACAAAGCCTTCTCTGCCAAGCTGGGCTCTGCTTCCCCAGCATTGTGAAGCAAACTGCCCTGGCCATTCTGTCTCCAATGCTCTCCCCAACAGCAGGAGAAGCTGGCACTTCTGCCACCCAAGGTCAGAGCCAGGCTGTGGTGAGCCCCCCTGGTCACCTACCCTACCTCAAACAAGCCAAAAATAGATCCTATGGAGCATCTTACCGGGGCTGCACTCTCATCCTTCTTCACAGAGGGAGGTAATGGTTTCTTAAAGACGTCTTCTGCAGAGAACTTCTCCTCTCCAGACTCATTCTAAAACAATTGAGACCAGGTGTTAAGACTGCTGTAGCACAGCTTCAGTGCAAGCAGCAACTAATCACACGTTTAACAGGCCTCCAAGGAAACCAGGCAGTCAGAAGAAATGAGGTGGTGTTTTTGGTGGCAGACATTCCAATTCTGGGCATCGCCCGAACTATTTCTCCTGGAGCTAGGCCCTTGGTTTCAGGGACAGCTGAAGCAGTTGCCATGCTGCCTCAGCCTGATCCACTCTCACCCTCTGCTGGACTGTGATGCTGGCCATGGCCCCAGCTGCAACTTAAACCAGTGAGGGAGCTGGTGCAGGGCCAGCTCAACATTTCAACAGCTCTGCATGCACAAAGGATGTGGAGATCATGTGCAAAGCAGCCCCCAGAGCCGGTCAGCACAGGACCAGGGAAGCTCACCAGTGCATGACGAGCTCCAGTCCTGCTTCACTGGGAAAGAACAGACCAAGCAGAAGTACTACATGTGGGGAGAGGAAAGGATGACAATGCCAGTTTCCTCTGCCATGTCTGTGGTACAGTAAATGACCAGGCTCAACACAGCTCTTTGATTTTCAGGATTTTCTCCTGGACAAAGACCACCAAAGACTGTAGTTACCTAGCATTGTAACAGGATGAGGCTGTGATGCTCACTTGCATGCTCAGCAGCACAAACAATAGGCTTGGATGAAGCTTTATATCTACATTCTTTACAGAGAATTGCTCTGATGTTGCTCTGATGCCCTGGACACGCTCTAGTTCAGTGGTTCATTAGCTACTCATGTTTGACTGGGGAAAGACAAGAGCTATGCAACATCTTACCAAGCTTGCACTTTCGTCCTTTTTCACAGAGGGTGGTAATGGCTTTTTGAAGACATCTTCTGTGAAGAACCTCTCCTCTCCAGGCTCATTCTAAAAAACCCAAGATTGGGCATTAGACCATTAGCAGCACAGGGCTCAGGGTGCACACAGCAGCCACAAAGCCAGTTCAGAACATCTGTGGAAACCAGAAAGCCGGGAAAAGCAATAGGGGGATTTCTGCTGCAGATGCTCTCACACTCCATTCAGCCAAGACCAACATTTATCCTCGGTCAGTACCCTTGTAAGCAGGCATTCTCCACACCAGATGAGATTCCTTGGCAGGCTTGGTACCATCATCAGGGACAATTACTCCCCTCAGGTCCCAACTCCCCAGGACCAAGCACACCACAGAGCACATCCAGACCAACGGGTAAGGAAGAAAAAAATCTGCATTTGTGACTGAAACACTTCTACCAACTCCTGTGGTCGAATTCACTCTACTCGGCATTCCTCAGGCCGAGTCAGTATCCCAGCACAGTTGTGGAAGATCCTGTTCAAAACACCCACGCTCAAACATTGTTTTGGACAGCTACTCCCACTCAGCAGTTCCCCACATTGGGGAAATAACATTTGCTCACTGGGAGTAGCACTAAAGGGCTGGACTCTGGGAGGAACCGTACAGGATGTCCGTGATGAACTCCTATCTGCATTCGATCTTGGTTCACCTTTGCAGTCCATCTGCACCGCTTGCTTCATCTTCCTGTCTGTCTGTGATGTTTGGAGGGGGCAGGAACTGTGGTTAGGGAAGAGCTGAATCTCTGTTATTATCTGACCTGATATGTTCAGATACGCCTTCTATGTTTTTGCTGGCTCTGTTACAACAGTTGGGTGCTTTCAGCAACGGGGAGTGAAATGCGAGTCTCAATTACATGGCTGTTTCTGAATCCTTTAGCATAAGGAAGGGATAAGAAGTCCTGACTTAATGCTGGGAGACAAAAATTTCAAGAACTTGTCCCCGCCTGGCCAGATCCATGTTCCTGGCCTGCTGGTGACCCCATGTATTTCATCACTTTCTCTCACGACTCTCCCCTTTTTGAATCCTCTAAGAATTACTCTCTTTTTTTCTAATACCAATTACCTCAACCTCCTGGCCTCAGATCTCTGACCATTCTGACATCTGGAGTTATTTACCTTAGCAGAAGTATTTTTCCCTTTCTCCTTTTTGTCCCTGTTGTCCCTGTTGTCTCTGTTGTATGGTTCCTTCCTTTCATTTGTCCATTCTTGGCTTCCATGTCGCCGCCTTTTGTTCTCTACAGGTGATGAGCAGGCTTCTCGGTCTATCGTGACTTCTCTCTGAAAGAGGCATAGAAAAAAAAAACCTTAGCTGAAACCCTACAATCTTCGTATCAGACTTTTTGTCCTTATTTGGCTGAGGAGACCAGCACAGTAAGAAGGGACTGCAGAGCCTCAGATGGATGAAGGAAAAGGCTTTAGGACCTTGCTGGGGCAGAAGACTGTCTACTACAGCTAAGCCACGAGAGCACAACCCTGCTCACAAAGAGCATGGACATTTCCAGTTTCATAAAAACAAGACAACAGTTCCAGAGAACCTCAGCAGATGGCTCTTTTTTGGGATCCTTGTAACTATTGCTGGCCAGGCTTAGGGAGCAAACGGATGAAGACAGAGCTCTGTTGTCCCTCTTCTAGTAGAGGGTCACATGTTTTCAAGCAAAGCTGAGCAAGGATGCTCTTTTCTTAAGTCTGCTAACCACAGAGACCAACAGCCTTCCTTCAGAGGCCAAGGAGGCAACCACAGCAAATGGTTCAACACGCAGCTGATGGACTCCTAGCCTCTCATGTTAACATTTTGGAACACAGATCTCTTTTATACAGGTCAGAGAACTGAGCAAGAGAAACAAAGCTGACTCTGTGTCTTATGCTGTTCTATGCTAGCCCTCTTCAGGCTGCAAAATCAAGGAAAGGCAGTTTGTAAGAACATGTCACGTGTAAAGCTTCCTTCACATGCACTCACCTGAGTCCTGGGGTCGTAGTATGTCCCAGCTATGGGATCGTAGTAATTCCCAGTTTCAGGATCGTAAATGTATGTGGACACATCTGATGGAGCTGAATGGAGAGACGAGTTAACATCAGTCTTACAAATGCAGAACTTGTTCTTTACAAAGAGAAAAGCAAGAGTAAACCTTGCACTGTCAAAAGGATCAAGAGTGGGAAAGAAGCAATTTTCTCCCCTGGTAAGACAGGCGAGAGCAGTCCTCACATCGCTCTACCTGCATCTTTTCTCTCTAAGGAGTAATAAGGTAGATAGGTTTTCACAGTTCTTCTGTTTTAGGACTGGCAAAAATTCCACATCAAAACACACTTACAGGGGCTGTGCTGAGATCACCAGATCACAGCACTTGACCGGACAAAGATATGAAATTCAGTAATTTCCCAAAGAATGGGTTGATGTGTTCCAGGCTCTGTTTCCACCCACCCCTGTGAACAAGGAAGATCTGTGCTCTTATAAACAATCTCCTGTTTGAAGCGATGACGCTCCCCACATCCCTTCTGTCTCTGGGTGCATGAAAGCTCCCGACAAGAAACAGAGCAAACTGTTTCTACTGGAAAAGCCAAAGGCTTTAAGGGTAGGGTCATAATACGAGGAACATCTCACATTTCCAAAATATTATTTAGACAGAGCTCAGCAATGCTACATGTATGTTAGTTAAACAATTATGGCAGGGGGTTCTGGCTACTGGCACTGCTGCAGAGTATTTTCCTCTGTCTCGTCTGGAAATTACCAGGCTGATTTTATCCCATCAGTACGCTATAACAAGGAAAAGCAAGCAGCAAGTTTTCTTTATCTGCATGTAGCTTTTGCACAGTAAAAGTATGGAGAAACCCATTATCAGATAGGAAAATGTGACTAAACAAAGTTGGCAAAGGAACTCAGAAGTGGGTGTAGCAAATAAACCTACTCTTAGTCTTTAAAATATTTTTGGGCTGATTTCTACATGTCAGTGCCCTTTTAAGGAAGTAAAGTCTCCACAGTAGGAGTGAGGCAGAGCTTAACTTACACTGTGCTCTGGTGCGTCTCTGTGATTCGTTGCCCCTCCTGTCTCTCATGCCCCTTCTGCCCTGGATTAAGTGAACAACACAAACAGATCAGAGACTCTCTGACAGACATCATATTGCTTCTCCTCCCTCCCACGGGCCCAAAGTTCAGGAAAACAGTTATTTAGCTCCTCTAAATAGAACACAATCAGGCATAATTTTTCATCTACAGAATGAGGGACAGTATTGCAAGGCACGAGACCTCCATAGCCCCCCTGAATCTTTAAATCAGCAACTCATGGCAATCCATTTGAAAGCCCCAAACCCATTCAGTATGGGAAAAGCCTTGCAGTCTGTAACACAACCACTAAAGAGACGCTCTCTTCAGGAACTGAGATCAGCCATCAGTAAGTCAACCTGTAAAAGCCTGTTACACAGTAATCCACACCCAAATTCCCTCATGCAGCATCTGTGCTGACCCACATTTCTGTGTGCATTATAATCGTTGTGGCACAGTAGCAGTGAAGAGCATACTTGAGCATTATTACCCCACCTTCCAGCATGCTGAAGTTTCAGCAGTCCAAAGGGAAAAAGCCTAACAAAGTCATGCCCACTGCCCTCGATGCTCCCACCCTTCCCTCCCTGTGCAGGCCTACCTGTCCATAGTAGGAATTGTCACTGTGCTCCCCGTAGTCATTCCTGCTGAAATAAGCATTGCAAGTAAACATCTGGCTTCAAGTTAACCTCAGTGTACTCAAAATGATCAGCAGAACCAATAAAGACAGAAAGACCATCTTCACTGGCCACATGTCAGATTGTGTTCATGCCAGGAGACAGAGAGGCTTTGCAGATCGCTGTCTCCACTAGAGTTATGCCCCCTCTCTGCTTAATCAAAGAGCAGCTGAATCTCCCCAACTGCTTTTGAAAAAAAAAAACCCACCACCAAACCTATTAATTCCTTCACAATGAGATTTGACAGCTGGACAACAACAGAAAGCCACCTACTACAGTGGCTAGTCCCATACTGCTCAGACCCTGAAGCTTCTTCTAGCTCTGATACCTCACTGTGCACTTTGTTAGGCTGCAGGAACATCTGCACTAATTCATTTACCATCCTCTAAGGACGAGGTCTGACAACACATCTCCAGCCTCACAGCACGTCACACAAAGGGCAACCCTACTGACTTATTCATCCTTACCTTCTCCTCCCAGTAGCAAGATTCACTTCCACCGTACGACCATCAATGCACATAGGGGGATCCAGATTCTGCAGTATCTTTAGCACCCTCAGTGCCTCCTGTAAAATGAAAGGAGAATTTCACATCTCTGCGAAGTGAAGTCTGTTTCTGCCTGAAGAGAAGGTACATCCTGCACCTACAGGATGACCAGAACAGGACAAGAAACACAATACTCTAAATATTAGTGAGAGATATTTAGGGTGTGACAAAAAGGATAAAAAGGATAAATAGGATAAATAGGATCTCTGCTTGTCCCACAGCCGTTTTCAGCAGCCAGCTAGGGACTGTGTTCTCCTAGGGCTGCTGGACAGTGCAGCACCATATGGCGGCTGTTGCCCCACAGAGTTTTGGTGAACACTCTCTGGACCAATGCAAAAACACAGCTACAGAGTCTGGAAATCACTCTGGCTAAGGAGAAAATGTGAACCCTCCAGCATGGAACTGTCTGTTAATTAAGATTCTTGCCTTTTGTGGACAGAAAACATATAATTCAAGTTCCCTGCAAACAAAACACCTGTGCAAGAGACGGTCCAGTTTAGGAGGGTCTACAGAGATACGTATCAGGGCAAGAAACTCACTCAACATCACAGTTTGTGACAACATTCTTTAGCTCCTCATGTCTTTAACTTGTGATCAGCAGATGTATCAGATGTTCCCTGTGTCTAGCCAGACAAGCAGGAGTGGTCAGTAACTCTCCACAGAGCAGCTGCCCAACAAGTACAGCTATTTCTTAGAGTCTTTTGTTCCTGTGCCTCCTCTACTTCTACAAGCCACAGATGCCAACAGGGGGAGCATGTGAAAACAGGAAATTACTTACAGCATGTGAGTCCAGTTCAATGAAGCCATAGGTCTGCCCCATCCGGCCAGCTTTGTTCTTCATGATGCGCACTCTGGACGTGGAGATCTGCACGTATGGAGCCAGGAGCCCCACAATCACTTCTGGGGGGGTGAATCGTGTAATACGCTTCAGCATAATTGCTGAGAAGGACAATGAGAGAGGTGGCCAGGAAAGAAAAAGTGGAATAAAAAAGATTATTCAGATCCAGGCTTACTGTCACAGCAAAAGGCAAAACTAAACCCAGCCAAAGCAACAACACAGCTTCTTGCAGTTGGGTCTGGAAGCTGATACTTTTTTCCTCTCTAGTTTGCTCAGACTAGTCCCTCCAGTTGCTCACCTTTCCTTCCCAGAAAACGGAGCAGAAAGTATTCCCTAGTCTCCTCCCTCCTCAGAGGAGATTAGCCCAGGGTAAATTCTGGCCAAAGGAGACTTCAGCTGCTGTGCTAAGTTAACTGTACCACCCTGAAGCCAGCTTTCTCTGAATTAATTTTCCTAAGGGCAGCATGCCAGCACCTTTGAAGCTGGACAGCCCACCATTACTTGATGACATAGATTTGCACAACACAGAAACAGCCTCCAGAGGTTTTGGTGAAATGCTGCCCTTTCTGCAGATAGCCTCACGGAGAGCAATCAAGAGGAATCCCAAATCAGGCTTTCTGCTACTCACTTCTGCTTCCTCCACCTTCCTGTGGTGTGGCTTCCTCTGCTTCTCTCTGAGGAGGCATCTCCTGGTGCCTGTCCATGTCCCTTCTCTTCTCCTGCAAGGGCCGTCGCTCTCTCCCTTCATCTCTTTTCCTTGGCTCCTGCTCTTGAGGCTGGCACTCCTGCTGTGGAGCAGGAACTGAAGGCTGGACAGGCTGCTTTGGAGATCCAGGTTGTGCTGGTAACTCTTGCTCAGGTTTTTCAAGCTTTGCCTCTGCTATTAGAGAAGAGAAACAGACTGGTTCCACATACAACACTCCAGTACATATTTTGCTTCTGCTATTTTCTGGCCACTGCAACTGCCTGCCTTCGAAAAAGCTAGCCTATTCTGTCCTCTGCACATCCCACGTCTTAATCTGCAGAGACAAGGCGCACAAGGGGCGAGACAGACAGGGAGCTCATCCTTCCATTGCCCTGTTTCACGTCAGGCTCCTCCTTTACCTGATGTCTCCTGTCAGAGATGAGGCATTTTGGCCTTTTTATAGGACCGGCTCTTACCTGGGCACAGATGACTTAGTAATGGGTTTGGATATGGTCTACCCACATCCAGGACAACCTACACGGCACTGATACCCTTACTATGCCTCATCTATTCTTGAACGCTCAAAGCTGAGCAGTATCAGCTACCGACTGCCATCCTGTCTCTATGCTAGGAGAAAACTGGGTGCAGACACCTGTGATCACTGAGTGAAACGCACCATACATGAAATCGACGATTTTTTATTAGGTCTCTACTTGCCCCAAAACGAAGCACCCACTATGTGGAAACGCCCAGCCTCAGCCTAGCTCTGCAGCACAAAGAAGATAAATCCCATCACGCTTCTGTGCTCGAAGGCCTCTGAAACATCTAGCTTCACTTCAGAAGAGATCCTTGCCTAAGTTCTGAAGCTGTTAGAAAGGGAAGCCTAAGCTGTGGGGCTGTAAGGTCAGGTATCACTAGCCCTCTACCTGCTGCTGAGATCCGTTCCCACAAAGAAAGAAACAAGTAAAAGACCTAGCACAGTAAAGCTTCAGTTGGACAGCCCCATACAAATTTGTCTCCAGCTTGGAGGGTGCAGTGAGGGCTCCACTTCATGAGCAGGACCTCATGCAGAATTTGCATAGGATACCAAATTATGCAGACATAAGCACAACCCCAGACATGCAGAGAGCACTTCTCTTACTGAATTCTTGCTCAGCGGATGCGTCCTCTCCCTCAGAACCACCTCTGGACTCTGGGCCTGCTCTGCTCCCTGTAAGAGAGGCATGTTAAAATCCACTTCAAGACCAGCAGTCACAAAGCATGCAGGAGCCTAGGCAAAGTTGCAGCAACGAATGCAGACGCTCAGAGCCCTGCTTTGTCTCACCCAGCAATTAACAAACAGTCACAGAGAGATTACCTTATTATGTTCTCAAATCAGCAACACCAGGTCAGGGAGAAGCACGCACCACAATTAGTTTTCACAGCATCTTAAAGCCCCTGTTTAATTTGTTCCTCCGTAGCTTTTATTACACTGCACAGCTGTGGTGACCAAGGGGGCTAAGTACACAAATTCTGCCTTCCTAATACTAATGAGGAGCTACAGTGCAAGGAAAGCAAAACAACCACAGGGACAGCGTTTAGTAAAGAAAGAGCTCTGCATCAGCAGTTATTTTAATGCCCTCCTACCTAAGGTATGCACATAAGAAATGCATAACGTCACAAGTCTGCTCAAAGATGCAGAGTCAAAGCTCACAGAGGGCCTGGAATACCTGCTCATCCCAAAGAAATCAGATCCTCGAGGGACTGTGCTTTGGCTGTTGTGCTATCCCATGCTTAAAAGCAGAGGTGCTGGTGGGTGAGGAGAAGCTCCCAGAGGAGCTGAACTCCTTCCTTTCCACACACAGTCAGCAAGGTGAATTCAGCAATTCACATCCCAGATCCTCAAATTTGAGAGCCTCAAAAGAGTAACACTAAATCCCCGCAGCTGCACGTCCCAAGGAAGGGGGGCTGAGGGGAAGCTTCACTTACAGCAGCAGCGCTAGCTCACAGACCTGCAGGACACAACCTGTCGCTCCGGAGGGGTGACAATACCAAAGCAAAGGGAAGGAAAGGCCTCGTGCAGTAAGACCCCAAGCCTCACAGGAACAGAGAGCCTGCTACCAACACACGGCGTGCACCACATTTAGTGTTGACAGGGAAAGGGGGGCTAAATGAAGCCAAATTAATGATCCTCCTACGCAGTGCTCGGCTTGGTGCTCAGCCAGTTCCACCATGAAGGACGCCGCAGGGAAGGCAGAATGCAAACTTACTCGTCAGGACAGGTGAAACTTTTAAGCAACCAAACACAGGAGGACCAGGCGTACTCACCATCTCTTGGGAGCTTGCAATAGGAGCAGGAAGATCTGTAGCCCACAGTACACACCTTACACTGCAATGGAAGATGGACAGCATGAAAAAGTCATGTTGTGAAGGGGAAGGCACAACCTACTCCAGAAGGCCAGGCTCTGAAGTACTGGCAGAGAGTAAGTTGTGGCCATGGAAAAGTTACAGCAAGGGCTTGAGAGGCAGGATGGGCACTGGCTGCAAGAGCCTCGAATGGAATGGGAAGGGGACGTTCACACGGCTCACACCTGGGATCGCCTCGGGGCTGGGATTTTCACACAGCCTCTGAGCACAGATCTGCTCACGCCACAGAGGCGCTTGGCTAATCCCTGAGGCAGGGTCCTTCCCCCTCTCGAGTGATGCTGGGCTGAAAAGCTCCCTGCTGGCTGCCATCCTGCCAACCCCATTGTTTCAAAGGACCCAGAGTGACCTTTGTTCTTCCTCCCCTCAGCTCACTCCTCAGGCGGTGACAAAGTCCTCCCCGCAGTTAAAAGGCACGTGCGGATACCGATGCCGTTTGCTGCACCAACAGAAAGGCGTCTGCCAGCTGCCAGGCAAAGCTGCTGGGGCTGAGATGTTATCCCACCCGGAGCTGCTGTGGGAAAGGCAAGTGCCCAGCCTTCACAGCTCTCCCTGAACACAGCGTTCCTAACGTTCCCTTCGAGCTCTTTATTATAAACGCACTGCTGCTCTTTCATACCACTCCTTTCTCTGACTGAAGCCCTGCAAACACTGAGGCTCCAGAGGGCTTTTTCTGGCCATGCCCGTGCATGGCACGAGCCAGCTTCCCACCACACTATGAGTTGTTGTGAAAACACTGCCCCTAACTCCCGTCTCTACTTGATTTCTGGAGCATTAAAAGCCCAGATGAGAGCAGCATTGGCCCCAAACGATGGCTTTGTTTGCAACTGGAAGGCATCCAATTAACCTGGAGAAGGGGGCAGTGTGAGCACAACCGAGCCCTCCCCACCCCACTGCCACCTCCTGCTTTGTGCTCAGGGGCAACGGGAAGAGCCACCCTCCTCCTGGCTCCGCACTCTTCCTCAGCCCTCTGCAGCTGCACCTGCGCTGGGAGAACCACGGGAAGGGCACAGGAACAAAGCCGGCCCTCGAGCAGCTGTGCCACCCCACAACCAGGCTGAACGAACCCTGCCTGGGCTTTGACTTCTTTCCACGCTTCCTCTCTGCTGCCCTTGCCAGAGCAGCCAGCAGGAAAGGCACGGTGCAGCTCTCAGTCGCATACTTACACGTTTGCAGCGCCAGAACTCCGGGCACGGAGTGTACTCAAGGGTCACTTCTTTGCCTCCAATCGAAAGAGTTCCCTGTTGAGACAAGGGGGTGAATGACGAATGCGCCCAGCACACGGAGGTCGCTCAGAGGCAGAGGAAGGGGTTAAAGCTCTGCTTTCCAAAGGCTCGGCAAGTGAGACAGGGGACGAGGGGGGAACATCTGGGCCAGTTAGCTGGGGCTCCGTCATGGAAGTGGAAGCGCCCGTGCCCTGCTCTGGCACAGGGCTACAAAGCCATGGGCTGGCTCCAGGGGAAGCAGGCAGAGGCTTTGCCACCTCCCAGGGAGAGCAGAGCTGGTAAGAAGAGCACAAGAGGGAACGGCTTTAACTTGCTTTTGTCCCCAAGCTGGAAAGGCAGCTGGACATCCTCCTGCACACCAGCCACCAGCAGGCTGGTCTCAAGGCAGCTCCTTGAGGAGGAACACAAGGAGAAACGCCATCGAGGGGAGAGAAATCTGACGCTTGGGTGAGTCTTCACGTCACTCAAGAGACCCTGGCTGTCCTTCAGGGAAGTGAGGGCATCCCCAGCTGCACGGCCTGGCCCCTGGGGGGGCTGCACTCGAGCCCTTGTGCAACAGGGAGAGAAGCAGAGCGAAGACTCCCTGCTTTCTGCCCCACACATCACGGTGGGAGAGGTGGCAGGGCACACAAGAAACCCCCCAGCTTGGCTGAAATGCAGCTGAGCACAGGGATCCCAAGGGTGAAACGTGGTAGGTGAGAGCTCCCCGGCTCCTGCACGAAGCCACCTGCAGGAGCAGGGACCCTGCTGTCATCTGACATGGATGCAGCCCAGGCACAAGGGATGCAGGGCGAGCCCCAAAAACAGACCGTGGGCCATCTCGCATCACCGCAGGCCCTGCCTGCCTTTCCAACACCACAACACAGGAAGGGTGACAATAATGAGACTCAGCCCCAGGGCTCCCAAGCCTCAGGAAAGCAGCCACTCTTCAGGCCAGTGCAGACAGGTGCCAGCTGCTATTTTGGGGATCCCTGGGCAGTCAGAAGCTTCCCGGGAGCTCCGAGCCAGCAGCCTGGTCGCACGAGAGTTCACAGAGCAAACCAGGAATGTGAAAAAACAAGTTCCCAGGGGTATTATTCAGAAGTCACAATACACCCATGCAAAAATTGCTGTGCAAAATGTGCTGGAGATGCCAGGGAATAAGTAAAGCAGGTGGAGGAGTTCCTGGGAGGGAAGCACTCGGTGACGGTAAACCAACAACCCTTTAACCCCTCCAAAAAACGCGGCGGCGAAGGCTGGAGGCCCAAAGGCAGCACCGAGGCCAGGCAGCAGCACCTCCCCTTCCCGCAGCATTGCTCTTCCACACCACGGCTGTTCCTTCCTGCCAGGCCTGCACGCACCGAGCCCTGCAGGGGATTTCTTTCTGCCACCCAGCTGTTTGGATGCCGATTCCCACGTGAGCAAGGCAGGGAAGTGAAGGCCGAGGTCAGCCCACTTGGGGTGGAGATGCTCCCTGCCCTGAGCAGGGCACCTCCGAGAGCAGCAGAGAACCACCCGTGTCTGCCCGTGGACCCAGCAAGCACAGGCGGGGAGAAGGCAGGGTGCACATCCTCGCAGGCACGGCCACAGCCCGAGCTGCCAGCCCGCAGAAGCCCCGGGGAGCAGCAGGCAGCCGGCCCCACTCAGCACGAGGCTGCAGCCCCGCAAAGGGCCCGTGCAGCAGGGACAGCTTGCTTTGGGGACGCTTCCTCTGGCAGGGCAGCGCCCCACGGCTTCATCCTTCCAGCAGTTACTTGAAAACAAAACTTGCCAGAAAGCCCTGAGATGATTTTTTGGGTTTATGGACGATCATCTTTCAGCGCACGTGGTGCTGGTCTCTCCTGCAAACTCATTTCTTAGAGACTGTCAGAGGTGTCACTTGCTAATTACTCACTCATTTCCTTAACGCCCTGCTGATTGCCTGCTCACTTTTCCAAGCTCGCTCTTACTGCCTTCTTGATATAATCATTTTCAAGGCTGCAGCGATCACTTAACATACCAAAACGAGCCCTTCAGTTAGGGCACACAGTGTCAGGAGTCAGTAGCTCAGTGACTTTAAATTCCTCTTTCCCCCCTTTTCTTAATAGATTCCATCCCAAATATTTCCAGCATCTTTATTTCTTCTAATCCCTGTCACTCCTTATTCTGTTTCAGCTCCACCTTCTTCTCCCTGCAAGATATTTTGGATAAAAGCTCTAATTTTCAGTTCACTGGCTTCAGCTGAGCAGACCTTTGTGAATTCAGGAAGACTTTCAGAACATTTCAGGGAAGACTGCAAGAAGGGGAGAAAAAAAGGCAAATCCGAGGAAAGCTATGCCACACCATGGCAGTACCCGGACAGCAAGAGCCTCTTCCACATCCACACATTTTATCTCGGCCCTCTCTCTCAGACTCCCCTGCTCTATGCCTGTTAATTCTCCTCGTGTATTTTCAACATCCTGTACTTCTGAGCAGCTTGGCCTTTTCTTTCCAAATTGTTATGCTACAGAAATGTCTCTCCCGTCCTCCCCGTGAGGAACCTCCCCCTCAAAACTCTCAGTGAGCGTGCGGTTGACTCACCAGCGAAAGGTTTAAGAGGCAGCACAGCCCTGTGGCACCAGAACACAGAGCTCTTGGCAGTGGAAATGCCCAGGCTTTCGAGGGCACAAGCAGCTTTTACTTTTGTTTTCGAATTCCCGAATGCAAAGCAGAGCATCAGGACTTTATTTCTGGCACCAACGTTTAATGCTGCTGTTAGATGTCTTTCAACTGCAATTCTATTTTTATTTTTTTTTCTTAGAGGTCTGGTGTAGACGCAGTACTGGATTTTAGCTGAAGTGGTACAACAGAATATAAACCATTGCAGCTAACGTTATCCAAAAAAATGTATCATCTGGGCTAAGAGCCAACGGCCCAGCACGCAAACATCCCTGGAAGCAGACTCCAACCAACTACGCAATCCCGTACCCGGTGGTTCTGGAGCACGATGCCATGAAGCCATACAAGCTATCTGCAGCTAGCACGGAGCAGTGTCCCGAAGCCCTCCGATGAGCAGGGACGTTAGCATGTGAAATTCCCCCAACCACAGGAACGGAATACTTTAAGAGAGGGGGGAGAAAGGGAAACCCCTTAGCCACGATATTCGCGGAGGGTAAAACCTTTCCAGAGGCACCGTGAAGACCGCGTCTCAGCTGGGCATGAGGCTTCAGCAACCAAACTTCACAGTTCCTAGGGCACTTTCCAAGCTCTTTGGCACCGAAGGCAGTTAAACCAGAAGCATTTTTAAAATATCGGTATGATCTAAACGGTAAAGACAATGCTAACCGAGGCTCACCTTCGGAGCCCCCAGATCCATGAGGATTAAAGGGTTCTGCTGTCCAGTTTGCTGAGTCAAAGTACTGGCACAGTTCAACACACTAAAAGCAAACTGCAAACACCATTTGCAAACAGATGTAAGGCTGCATACAAAGATTATAACAGAAGAATGCTTACGGGCAGCGCTGCAAGGCAGTCGCATTAAAATGCCAGGATTAACCTCACTTAGGGGATGTTTATTCAGCTCTCTTACGCATATTTACTGCCATTAGGACGGTTATCCAAAACCCACCCCACAATAAGCATTTAAAAGTTATTTAAACTGATTAATGACTAGGCTTTACTGCGTGGTGGAGCCTCAGGCCATAGCCGAGGAAGCAATGGAAAAGGCAGCAGCCTCGGGGCTCAGAGGGAGCCCCCAGGGCCAGCAGCGTTTCCAGAGCAGCTCTCACCACCCACGGGTATTTTCCAGCCCTGCCCTCCTCGCACAGCGGGCGGCACAGCTCAGGGAGACAAGTGGCTGACAGCAGAAGTTGGCTTATCTACCTGCAACCACAAATCAGGCTGCTTTGGGGTTGCCCTCTAATCTGAGGCCAGGTTATAAATGCAAATGTGACAACCCCAAGTGCGCCGCTACCCAGATGACACCACCGAGCCCCGTAACCGGCACGGCTCTCGTCTCGGGCAGAGGACGAGGGAAGCTGGCAGGAAGAGCACAACGCTCCCTCCCTTCAGGTATTCACCTGCACATGAACCAGAGAGGATCAAACACCAAAGGCCCTTCTAGCCTACACATCCCCAGCTGCTCCTGGAACCCATGAGGCGGCAGCTTCTGGGCTGGAGCCATGGGCCAGCAGCAAGACACCTGGGAGGGTATGAGACCAGCTGGATGTATCTCAAAACAAGATCATCCCCACACAGAAACTGGCTTCCCATCCCAGTTTTCCCATATGCTGAAGTTTTTTTTTGTTGGTTTTTTTTTTTGGTTTTTTTTTGTTTTTTTTTTTTTTATCTCCGAGCTCCTTGGCAGCTGCTGTACAAGGGCCTGGAGCCTGCAGAGCACCAGGCAGCGCATCTACCTACCTCTGGCAAAAAGCAGGGGAGAAAAGCTGCGAACCCACAAACCACGATCCATCTGCAATCAAGGATTTAGAAAACAGAGCGTGACACGGAGAGATGAAGAAACTAGACGCACGGCCCAGAGGTGTCACCAGCAACCCCGAGTTAACAGGGCAGAGCTTCAGAACTGAGGCATTAGGAGGATAACCCTAAGAGCCTAAAGGTGTAGGAGCCAAACAGAACCGATTAAGATGCTCTGTAAGGATCCCCTCATCCCTGACAGCACCCTGTGCCTCCTTCAGGCTCCCTTCCCACAAAACCCACCACCCAGCACTGGGCCCATCCGTTACGCCGCGTGTTTCCAGACCCACTCGCTCCCACGCAGCCTTCCTCAGCATCCCTTTCTGCCTCGATAACGAGGCAGTTTGTCCTTTAGCAGCTCGCCTGTCTGCATCATTATTTCCACAGACGTCCCGTCGACGCTGCTGAGCCATCTCTGGTTTTCCTCCTGTGATTTCCAATTCCCTGGATAGCCACCACACCGCCGTGCTCATCTGTCTCAGGATCTTTGTGGACCTCCTGTCCCCCGCTGGCACCCTCTCTGCAGACACACGGCGCTGCCCCTCAGGCCACGCTAGCTCTCTGCATTTTCTTGCTCGGATTGTTGAACTACAGTTCACTTC